CCCCCCCCCCCCCCCCCGTAGTGATGCTTTTAAATAAGGTGTCCCCAGGGTGGCGGGGAAATACTGCTCGGGGACGCTTCAGCTGCGCTCCAGCTGCGCCTCAGCGCCGAGATGCCTTTGCAGCCCCCCTGAGACCCCCGGTGCCGGAGGGGACGGGGACCCCCAAGTGCACTTAGGGGTGGCCAGGGGCTGCGCGGGGTCTGGCCAGCGCTCAGCCCCCCTTGGGACCCGCGGTGCCGGGATGCAGCTGCATCCCCAGCCCCAATGTCCCCCCAAAACCATTCACCCCATCCTTGGGGGGGGAACCCCGAAACACACAGCTGGGTCCCTTAGGGACCTGGGGGTCCCTTTAGGGGCTTCTGGGGGGGTAGAATCGGGCCTGGGACCCCCCAACCCTCATTAACCCTCGTTAGCGGGGCCAGGCCGCGGTGCCGCTGGGGCGGGCAGCTTTGCCAGCGAGCGGAGCCGTTAATTACCTCATTGCCAGAGTCCATTACCGCTCCCCTCGGAGCGGGTGAAATGGAGAAACTGCAGCAGGAGATGGGAGGGAATAAAATCAATCAGGGCTGAAACCTTCAGGGAGAGGGGCTAGGGGGGGCTTAACCCTTCCCTGACCACCCTGAGGGGGAAACTGAGGCACGGCCGCCCCATGGGGGAAACTGAGGCACGACCACAGGGAAGCCCGCCCTGCTCGGGGGGGGGCACTGCCGCGCATGGTCCCCTTTGGGGCGTTGCTCTGCAGCAATCTGCGGCGCGGGGCTGGAAAAGCTCAAGGTTGTAATCTTGTTCCTTCCTCAAATTAGATAAGAGGGAAAAAAGGCCATAAATCAGCGCGGGTAGCGATTAGAGAGACCCCAAGGAAGCAGGTGGGGGGCTCTGCCAGCTGGGCTGCGCTCGAGCGGGGCCGGATCCTGCCCACGCCGGCTCCCCACGTCCCTCGGCAAAGATTTGGGGCCAGGCGGAGGGACCGAGCCCCGGGCTGGGGGCTGGATCCGGCCCCGCTGCGGGCTGTGGGGATGGATTACAGGCTGGGAGCCGCGGGGCGCTGGGGACGGCTCCGCTTTCCTCCAGCTCTCCTTGTGCCGTACCCAGCCCCGGCCACCCAGCACAGCCATGCATCGTGCCGGCCCCGAGCCCCTCGGCACCCGCCGTGGACCCCCACCTTGCACCGTGCCTCAGTTTCCCCTGCGACCCCGCTCTCCCACTTATCTCAGGTCGCGGTGGGTAACAAAGGAGCTGCCAGGGCCCTGGAGGCGCTGCCTAATTAGCCAGATGAAATCAATTCAGCTCCATTACGGTCAGATCCAGGTCTCAACCATTACCAGGGCGGCCGGAGAGCCTGGGGAAGGATGACGGAGTGGACGCTACAGGGCATGCGATAACCCCCCGGCTGCGACGAGGGGGCGCGGGGAAGGGAGGGCTTCGCCCTTTGATGGGGGGGTGGCTTTGTGCTGCGAAGTCCCATCGCCCCCCCGGAGCCCTTGACAAGGGGAGCCGGGCGTCCGGGCCAGGGTACGGCATGAGCATCCCTGAGGGGCAGGGACATCGGCCCTGCATCCCCGGCACTCATCATCCTGCATCCCAGGCACTCTTCATCCCTGCATCCCAGCATCCTGGGCACTCATCATCCCTGCATCCTGGGATCCTGGGCACACATCATCCTGCATCCCGGGCACTCATCATCCCTGTATCCCAGGATCCCGGGCACTCATCATCCCTGCATCGCAGGCACTCCATCCCTGCGTCCCAGGCACTCATCATCCCTGTATCCCAGGATCCCAGGCACTCATCATCCTTGCATCCCTGGATCCTGGGCACTCATCATCCCTGTATGCCAGGATCCCAGGCACTCATCATCCCTGCATCCCTGGATCCTGGGCACACATCATCCCTGCATCCCGGGCACACATCATCCCTGCATCCCTGGATCCTGGGCACACATCATCCCTGCATCCCGGGTACGCATCATCCCTGCATCCCTGGATCCTGGGCACACATGATCCCTGCATCCTGGGATCGTGCTCCCAGGCACACATCATTCCTGTATCCCAGGATCCTGCGCATACATTGTCCCTGCATCCCAGGCACACATCGTGCCCGCATCCCAGGATCCCGGGCACACATCATCCCCGCATCCCAGGATCCCGGGCACACATCATCCCCGCATTCCAGGATCCTGGGCACACATCGTCCCCACATTTTGGGATCCCTGGGGCAGCACATCCCCTCCTGCTCCTCTTCCCCAGCTCCCAAAAGCCCCTCTTTCTCCCCAGACGCCCTCCATCCCGCCCCGTGCCCGGCGGACACCCCGGAGCAGGCAGGGCCCAGCGCGGGGGAGAGATGGACGGTTTTATTATCAACCGGTTTCGCTGCAGAGCGGGCGAGCGCGGGGCGTCCCCACCGGCCAGGGACCGGGGACGAAGGAGCAGCCAAGCCACGGGGTGCCCCCAACCATCCCGGAGAGCCGAGCCCCCCCGGCTCCCACACCGGCATGGACCCAGCGCTGGAGGGGCACTGGGCTCCGTCCCGCCGGAGCAAACCCACCTCAGCCGATCGCCGCCGCCCCGGCACGCCGGGGAAGTGCCAAGGAGCCGGATGGCACAGCCCCAGCCCCGGGTGGCACAGCCTTG